TATTAAAGATCTTAGTCAATATTTTGGATGCAGAAAAAAATTGAATCAAGCTGGAAAAATCGATAATGATATCTCAGCACAAACTAATAATAAGATTACCGAACTATCAAAAGTTGGTACTGAGATTAGCCCTAAGATAAATGAGAAAAGTAACATTAACGAAATTAGTGAGGATATCATACCTCAATCTCAGATTTCAGTAGGAGGAATAGAAGCAATGAGACCTAGTCTCGAGGCTTTGCCTCTTCCTGCTATGGCAAACACTTTAATGTCTCCACTATCGGCATATATTTTTCTTGCTTTGTTAATTATTGCAGTTGTGTGGTTCGTAGTGTTGAAACGTGGATTGAGTATAAGTAAAAAAAATGATCAGTTACAGGATACGTGGACTAGGTATTAGGAACTATCTATTTAAACTTCGATATTATTTATATACAAAAAATATATATGATGGTAATATAAAGATATATTTATAGTAAGCTAACTGCCTTGTTCCATGTATTTAGAAAACTCTCAAGTAGGGTTCCTATGTTTGGTTCGGTTCGATTAGGGTTCGGGTCCAGGTCCGATCGGACCCAGACCCGAACCATGAATTTTGAAAATTTCAAAACCAAACCCAAACTCAAACATGAAATCTTCGAACCCGAACCAAACCCAAACATGATAGGAGTTCGGTTTGGAGTTCGGTTCTAAGTTCACAAACATGTTTGAGTCTGGATAGAGTTCCTAGGATTGGTTCGGGCTTGAATTAATGAAGATAAAAATAATAGTAAAATCGATAATGCATACCTTGTATTGAAACCAGTATGTCCAGTTGTTGAATAGTATTACCAACGTTTGTGGTCACTGTGGAACATGACACTAAGTCAATTATTATACTTTAATGTCAATTGATTGATTTTTACATTCCTTAATGCCATCTTAATTATTGGCTAACATATTTTGTCACGCTTGCAGAGTTGATATACATAAAATACGTAAATGCTAAAACTTATCAGAATTACGTTAATGCATGTGAAATATCAAGTGGGAAGATCAAATGCAATTACGGATGATACCTGTCTAACTGCATCAAGCGCCAGAATGGTGTTATGATTATAGCCAAAAAAGAAAAATTTTTACACCATCGTCACGTTTTGATCTTCATACAAACCCTTTTTAATTTGATTATCATTTCTTTATATTTTCTATATACATTATTTTTATTACCAAATATAGTTATTCATACTTGTCTATTCAAGGGGATATCAAACATCTTGCATCAACAGCATGGATAAGTATAACTATATGTGGTAATAAAAGATAATCAAAATTAAAAAATAAGCATACAGCTAAAGATCAAAACGTGATGATCCAGTGTCAGAAATTTTTTTTTTTTGGCTACAATTGTAACGACAGAAAATAAAATTAGGTACTATGGAAACAAGAAATAACAGGCTATTTCTACAATAGCACCTAGTATAATGATTATTTGGGAGAGCGTAGTTCCACTTAATGAAAGAAAATCATTATGACTATACTACTTTATGATGAAACAAGATTCTTTCTTTATAAAATTGATGCTTACTTTTATTAATATGAAAGATGGAACCTATCGAGTTAGCTTCGTGTTAGTACGCATGCTGCTTCATTCAGTGGGCTTTAACAATCATGATACTAATTTAGATTATATACCCAAGAATGAATAATTATAAAATTAATTAATTACAATTCGGTCAATTACTCGCTTCTTTGCCATGTGTTTACTAACTTTTCAATAAAATCACTGTCGGCGCAAGCTATCTGCCAGCATAGTTCAAAGTAAACATAAATGTGTCACGTAACATAATGCTTTGGTCATAAGTCTAAATATATTATATAAGACAACAATCTTTAGGGGTAGTAGCTCAGGAGTGCCTTTCATTTATCTAATCGCTAAGTGCAATGCAGCTATTTCTACTTAATTATGAGCTCTTTGTCAAAAAAAATTATACTAAATCATGATAGTGTTTGTGATAATGTTCGCAGTAGTGACCATGATAGTGACCATGATAACGATCACAATAACAACAGCGATCATAGTAACGACCACAATAATGACTGCAATAACGATCGCAATAACGACCTCAATAATAATATTAGTACCACTAATAAGGGAATTTTTAAGAGTGAAGTGTGGCAGTTTTTTAACAGAATTGTGTGGTTAACAGAACGAAAAACTGCTAAATGCAAGGTTCCGAACTGTACACACAAGGAATTTTCCTGCGGAAGTGGAGGTTCGACCAAAACTCTATAGCGTCATTTAGAGAGTGCCTATTGGACACAATATGTCAGGACCGATGAATATCGTAAAAAAAAAAAGAAAAAGACAAAATGAAGGTGGCGATATCAAGGAAGCATTCGGAAGGGTGAGTTTTTTTTTTTTTTTTTTTTTTTTTTTACAATTTTTTAATTTGAAAATTTTTATTTTAGAATTCTAAAAGTTCTTCTTTTACGAGGCTGACTAATGTGGATAATATAAAACTTCGTGATATGTTCGCTGCTTGGGTTATTAATCGCCAACGCCCATTTACTATAATTGAAGACCCTGAGTTGATCGAAATTATACAATATTTAAACCCCACCGCACAATTAGTCAAAGCCGATGCGATAAAGAACGCAATTATGTCACTTTATAGCTCTGGAAAAAGGGAATTGAAGGCAAGCTTCGCTACATATCTAATATTCAAAGCTATGTTCTTATTTGAGAACATAAAATTCGCGAATTTATTATAAAAAATAATCTTTTGAGATTTTTGAGAACATCAAAGTTTAAATATATGTTCTCAAGAACAAAAATCTTTTCAGATATTGATGGCGCAGCAAAATAAATAAATTTTTAGTATAAAGTATACAAATATGTAATAAAAAAGTATTGCATTCTGACGTAATATTTCTAATCTACTCCCTTTGTATTTAATATATTCTTGAGAAATGCGATTGCTAATCTTTTAATTTGAATTCAAAATTCACTTAAATGATTTTTAATCCACAATAAGTATATTTATTTTATTTTGCTGGGTATTTATAATTCACTAGGCATACTTCACTACTATCAATTCCAAAATCTCTTTCACGTCAGATCTTTGGACATCCCCCAATAACAAGGCTTTCATTTCTGTTACGGCCCATTATATAGATGAAGATTGGGCGCTTCAAGAAACCGTAATTGACTTTGGTTTGATAAAGGGAAGACATGATGGAATTAATCTTGCTAATGGATTCTTTACGGTGTTAAAAGAGTATGAAATTACTTCGAAGGTACTTACTTTTTATTTGTATCATTTCCCTGACATTTTTCTTCGACAATTATTTCACCAACATCACGTATTGTGACGATTAATATTTAAAGTCTGAGAATAATTAGTAATCATAATAAAATTTATTGATTGTCACCCTACGTGATTTGATTAAGAAAAAAATGTTGGGAAATGATATAAACCCTTACTTTTTATATAGTTAAGATTAAGAATTGAAGCGAGATAGGTTTTTATTAGCCTTAAATATATGCAATAATCACTCTTTAAAATAATACTATAAAATTCATATATTTTTCACTCAAACAGTTGCTTGCTATAACCTTAGACAATGCTACGAATAATGGTGCTTTTGTGCGTGAATTAGCGGTTAGGTTGGAGGTTGAAGAAAATTATGAATGGAACCACGAATATCTTAGGTTCTGTTGCTTCAATCATATTCTTAATTTGGCCGCACAGGCTGCACTAGATCAAATAAAAATAGATGTTTGCATGGTTTTGTATAGATTTTATCACTGTTAATCTTTTTTTATTTATTTTATTGATTATATACTAATAAAAAAATAATTGAAGATTCGCGAACTTAACTCAGCTATCCGTGCAACATCACAACGTTTTGAGCTTTTAGAAAATGCTTGTAATGCATGCCAAATCAAATGTTATAAACCCATCCTGGATTGTCCCACTCATTGGAATTCTACTTACGATATGATCAAGAATGCGTTATCTCTTAAATCAGTAGGTTTCTATCTCTAATTTCATATACGTATTTAGATATGTAGAGTCTTTGCCTTGAAAATCGCCCTTCAACATTTCCGATCTGGCTAATTCAAAAACAAAAAAACACGATTACCAATTCACATTTATATGTTAATATAAAATGGTAATCGGGTTCGATTTTTCTGAATTAGCCCAATCGGAATGTTGGAGGGGATTTTTAAGTAAACTTAAAAAGTAGCAAAATTGGTAAGAGCTAATCATGCACTATTTTGTATTTTCAATGGATTAAATATTTAACTTATAGCATTTATTTAAATATCATAAAATCTTTCGACCATAGCAGATAGGTTGGTTATAACAAAAAATGCCCAGATCATGTGATCAATGATTGCTTCCGAACATAATTGGGAAAAGTATAAAATTTTTTCAAGAGATATAACCAGATAATATATAACTTAATTTTAGTGTTAAGGCATCAAAAAAACATATTAAGATTTTTGAACTTAACATCTTTTTATCGTTAAAATTAAGCCATATATTATCTGTCTAAAAAATCTTATACTCTCTCGAAACAATCATTGATCACGTGCTCTAAATATTTTTTTCACCATGACTAACCTATTTATCATAGCACCACTTATAGTAAAAAAACCCTGACATTGGTAAAAGTTAAAAAATTCACCATGTTGAATGGAACGATTCAAATGCCGCTCAAACTGCTATTCGACTGCCATCAAAACTAACACATTACTTCGCGGACTGCATGTCTGAGAAATCATGTGATAGTATTGAATGATAGTTCGAATGGTGACATTCGAATCGTGCCATTCAACATGGTGAATTTTTTAACTTTTACCAGTGTAAGCTTTATTCAAACTCATTTTTTTTAAATTGATTAGTGCTTTGTAAGAACAGGGCACTATATCTGGATTCATAGCTATATGAGTATTATTCAAGAATTAGGATAATAGTTTAATGAATAATTCC